AAATTTACCAAAAATCCATCTTCTCCAAAATCCAAAATCCAAAATCCTAAATCCTAAATCCTAAATAATCATTCTAACCAAGTAACCGTAACGATGCAGTTTTTCCCCACACACGACGACGCAACTCTCCCTTTCTGTCGACGAAGCAGAAGCAACAGCCGCCATCTTTTGTCCTCTCTTGTCGCCTCCCCTGCCGACGCAAGTAGAATAACAAGTAGATGGCGGCGCTGGTGTCCTCCCCTGTCGATGCAAGCAGAGCCAGAAGCCAGAGATGTCGCCGTCCTCCACTGCCGACGCAAGCAGAACCAGAACTAGAAGCAGGAGACGCTGCCGTCCTCCCTTGTCGACGGAAGTAGAGCCAAAACTAGCTTAGGTATTTTATCAAAATCTTTCCTTATTTCCTAATTTCATTATTTTGATTATTTAAAAAAATTGTGGGGAAATTTAATGATATCCTGTAACCCCAAATTGTTACAGATCGTGTTAGCTGCATAGACGAAATAGGTAAGCATATGACTGCTTTTTGAGGATTCTCAATGATCTCCCTGAATTTGCATGCTAATTTGTTGTTGAATAATAACTTTGAACTCCAAATTTCTTTGAAATTTCCTAAACAATGACGCAGTAGACATGCACTCCCGGTGTTTGTTCTTTTTCTTCTTATGATCGAATAGTGTAGAGGTCATTATTGAGGAAGAAAACTTTGCATGTTGCTTCTTGAGAAAAATAACCTGTTAGTGTAATAGGAGATTGCATTTTCTGAGATTTTGCATGTTTCATTTGCTTCTTCCATTCATGTTTTCTACCAAACGTAATTGCTGATGAGTGCGTCCAGTGTTCTTCTTTGGCTCTTTCTTTTGCTGCTGAGTAGAAAACATAAATCTTGAAGTGTAAAATATAGACATTCTCTTTTGTAACAAGTAATACAACCCATGAGTATAAAACTCAACTAGTAATCAAGTATAAATTAAACAAATATATATAAAGCAAAATGCATGTAGTAAAATGTATTGCAATATTTAGAGTAGCTAGCTACAAATGATGAATTAATTAAGAAGGTATTGTGGAAACTTTGAACAAAAGTATTAGTGCTCAAACCAGCTAAGCTAGCTAAACTAAATTATGTTAATACACAACTCAAACTACCAATTCTAATTGGAATGGATGAATAAAAATGTTGATCAAAATATATAATAGATGATTATTAGCATTATATTATATTGTCATTTTATGGTGAGTTGTAGTTTTTGAAGTAGCGTTGATTGGAGGATGGAGGAATCTAAGGCTTTTTTCAAGCCATTTCCTTTTTGTACTTTCTCATTTTGTGTTTTCTTTCTGATTTTTTAAATTTGTTTTATGTATATATTTATCGTATCATGATGCAGAGTGGAGATTAATCTCTCGTAGGGATGGACCATGTTTGTGAATATCCTCCTTTGACCCCTGCATTTCACTATTTTGCAAGCTATCTCTCTCTCGCCATACATTTGGATCTTTCCTCCCAATCTTCCCTTGTGCACACACTTCACTATTTTTTTCTTACAAACACTCTTTTCTGCCTCCTTGTACGTTGAACCAACCTCGAACACTCTTCAATCCAATCTCCCACTGCACCTTCTTTCCTCCCACTGCCTAAATCTATCTGTTCTGTTCTCTTTTCATGCACATGTAATCTGTGTTTCCCAAATCTGTGTGCAGTATCTATCAAGTTGACATCTTTTAGTTAAAAGATAATAATCTAATAATAATAATAATAATAATAATAATAATAATAATAATAATAATAATAATAATAATAATAATAAGATTTATTTCATTTAGGTAAATTGTATTTTGTATCTTCAGACAAAGTAAAATCAGAATTGGGTAAGTAAATAGCCGTCGGGGTGTTTTAGATGGAGTTTCCCAATTCACGCATACCACAGTATCAACACCTCATGCCAAAGTTGTCATTCAACTTGGATTGTTTGAATTATGTGTTATTGTGTTGGTAGAAACTTTTATTCAGATTATTGTGATTTTATTTTATTGTGCCTATTGAGTTGATGTTTGAGATGTTTGTGTTATATATTAAGCAGAGAGATAGTTCTATTTATAACGGAAACTTTGCAGAACTATTTTTATTAGAATTTCATTTGTTTTAAAATTATAATTATGTATTTTTTGTGTTGGTAGAAACTTTTATTGGGGTTATTTAGATAAAAACATTGCGATTATGTTATATTCTGTGTATTGAGTTGATGTTTGAAATATTTGTATTATATATTATAGTCTTATTTGTCTCAATTTTTGTTTTTGTTTTAACTAATTTTTTGGAAGAGCAATTCAATCATCGTCCATCATATTTTGAATTGTTCAAGCATACACACCAAAAAACATGATGGCCAAACGTTTATAGTTGAAAAAGACAAACAAATCTATGTAAGTTTATTTATCTTGATTTTCCTTATATATGAATTGTGATAAAAATTATACTAAATTTTTAAATTTTTATAGGAGCAAGTTGAATTACAACGGGAGATATTAACACAAAATAGAGAGGAAGTAGATGAGAGTCAATTGTACTCTGATGCAGTTGGTGGGCATGATAAGAAAAGAAGAGTTAAATGGGCTTGGCTCATATGATACCTCTGACACATCAGATAGTATAACTTAAACCTCGCAGCTATTAGACAATTCTAATTCTGCAAAGATGCAAGATGAGATTGAGAATTTGAAGGTTTCTATGGTTATGCAGCAAAGCTTAGATACTCTTGAGAGTAAGAGAGATGGTACTTCATCATCACCCTCATCACAACCGAATTCAACGTGATATTGATTTTCTTTTATAGATTACTGTATTGTTGTTTAGCAGTTTAGGCATAAATTTGGTATTAAGTATAATATTTAATTTTTTGAACTATAAATTAGTATTACTTTTATATTACAAATTATATTGTATTTTAGTTTGCATATCAACATTTTAAATAAAAATATTTGAATTTTAACAAAATAATAATAATTACCAAAATATTTAAATAATAATAATTTAGCAGAGTCGCGACGAAATATGATTTTAGCGATGGAATAGTTATTGTCGTTATGGCGACGAAATTGTTGACAGAAAGATTTTTGTCGCCCAAAACACGACGGAATCACGACATTGATTAGTTCCGTTATCTTTTTACAACATAATTTTGTGATGGAAAACAAATTTTGTGATGGAATATCTAGCGATGAAATCACTATGGTAATTTGTTCTGTCGTTTACTTATGACAAAATTTTGCGACGTAAGGCGAAATTTGTAACGGAAAAGTTAGCGACGAAATCGCGACGACAATTTGTTCCGTCGTTTTTTAATGACGAAATTTTATAACAGAATACAATTTTGCAACGGAAAGGTTAGCGACGGAATCACGACAATAATTATTTCCGTCGTTATAATTCACGATAGAAATATACAACGGAATGTGAGTTTCGCGACGGAATATTTTTTCACGTGATGGCGACAGAACTGCAACGGACTCACGACGGAGTGATTTCCATCGCCTACTCAGTGACGGAATGTTCCGTCACCATTTTCCGCCGGCATCGCTTGCAACGGATTATTTTCGTTGTGAAATGAAATACGACAAGCCTTGACACTACGGAATGGATTCGGTCGCGAAAATGAAAAATTCCGTCGCAAAACGGGATTTGCGACTGAATTTTGCGTTTTCTGTTCCGTCGCTAATCGCAATTTTTCTTGTAGTGATATATATATATATATATATATATATATATATATATATATATATATATATATAGGGTTGCATTCACATGCAAACAGTCTTAAAATACAAACGTGTGGACTAAATCTAGCCATAGGATGTGTGCAGATGGACGGATTAGATGTAGAGAAAGAAACTAATTACAGAATTTGTTTTTGAGTAAATAAGGACAATTATGACAATCCAACTATAATATAATTACAGAATAAATCCCATATGAATATTTCGCCTGAATTTTAGAAGCATAAGTATGGTAGGACTTGTCAACCTCCATTCCAATGCTACGGCCTTGCTATAAAAGTGCTGCCTAATGCTGTGAAATTAATGTTATTGCTATACATGTGTGCATTTTTTTTTAATTTTTAAGAATAGATGGTTTGATCGACTATACAAGGTGTGGGCATTGTGGATACCCACGTATTTTTAAGACATATACATGGGAGGACTACTCAAAACAACATCACGTTCGGAATTAGAGAATAATTAATAATTATAATAATAATAATAATAATAATAATAATAATAATAATTATTATTATTATTATTATTATTATTATTATTATTATTATTGTTGTTATTATTATTATTGTTGTTGTTGTTGTTGTTGTTGTTTTTAATATTGTTATTATTATTACAGTACCAAGCTGGTTAAGTCTTTGCAAATCATATGCTTTAAGAAACTTATGCCTGCATCCAATTCCTGGAAACCACCATATTGGACACGGAGATAATAAGTAAGGATCACACACACATACACTAGTGTGCACACATGAACGTTTAATTGGTAGGAATATTTGTACGTAAATTGAATGTTATTTAGACATGCATGCACACATATCAACAACAATGTGCACATGTCCAGCGAGTTTCATTTACCATAAATTTAGAAAAATAATACTTGTACTAGAAAGGGGCACGAAGTTATTAAGGAGCACAAACGCATACACTAGAGTGCACACATAGACGTCTAACTTGTAGGAATATTAGTACGTAAATTTGAATGTTATTTAGACATGCATGCACACATACCAACAACAATGTGCACATGTCCAGCGAGTTTCATTTACCATAAAATTAGAATAATAATACTTGTACTAGAAAGGGGCACGGAGTTATTAAGGAGCACAGATGCATACACTAGAGTGCACACATGAACGTCTAACTGGTTGGAATATTAGTACGTAAAGTGAATTTTATTTAGATATGCATGCACACATATCAACAACAGTGTGCACATGTCTAGCGAGTTTCATTTACCATAACTCTAGAATAATAATACTTGTAATAGAAAAGGATACGGAGTTATTAAGGAGCATACACACATACACTAGTGAGCACACATTAGCGTCTAAATGGTATGACGAATATTAGTACGGAAGATGAATGGTATTTAAATATGCGTGCACACATATCAACACCAGTATGCACACGAGCAGCGAACGCATTTATACCCAGATCCAAATAGAGCGCCAAATTTACTAATGTCATCGTATGGCGTCATCTCAAAGTCCTCCACCGGTCTGTCCACAAACCAAGCAATCTGCTTATCAAATCTTGAGAGGTATCCATGACAGTATTAAGCTGCACGAGCAATGTAATTGAATCAAATCAAAACCATAGAGATTACATAATAACATATGATGTAAAGATGTAGAGACTAACCGTGGTGAGAGTGGATACAAAGAAAAAAAAAAAAAAAAACACCGGGAATGGGCAGACGAGTCCTTAAACCGCTCTTGTTTATTTAAGAGACAAACCCACGCATCTACAGCAGCAACAGAAACCAACGACCCAGGAAGTCAGGAACCAACAACAACAAGTCTTCCCACCACGCAGACCTACCACTAACATCAAACAATATATCCTCCCTAAAACAAATACATGCCAAAATGCACACAAATCAACCAACCATAACAAACAGACAAGGAATGAAAATAAGAGGCAATGAAACTAACAAGTTTCCATCAGCAGCACCTAACAACCAATTGCAAATTACCGCCTCTTCAGGATTGTCCATGTTGGGCAACACCACAGTGGGATTGGTTTCTCTCGACTCACATCCAACCGCGACACCCCTGGCAAATCTATTGAAAATAGTTATAAACAGTAGAATAGATACTGCATTGTAACAGAGACAGTACTACTAAATAAAAATAGTATTAATAATAATAAGAGCATGTGCTTATTGGGCACACCATCTTTTCCAAAAGAGACTTCCTCCTTTTATTCTCGCTTTAGTCTGTTGAAAGGGAAAAAAAAAAAACTTTTTGCGTATTGTTGATGAGTTGATGATGGATAACACTTCCTCCATTTGCTTGATTTCTCTCCACTCACTCTATTACTGGAAACTTGTTAGTAAACTGCTGCAACCAAGAAAAGAAAACTTTATAAAGAATTATCAGTGACAGGGATGTTTCACTATCAGTGCATATAAAAAATCCCATCAGGGTTTATACAGAAACTACGCAAAGTGCTTATCTGCTGCAACCAAAAAGAGCATCACTCATTCACTTGGATGGCATAATTGAAACAGCAAGATTGCAAGTTCAAATTTATATTGTCTTTATAACTTCAAAATTACGTACCAATGCTCTATATATATTATGAAATTTGTATACTTTATAATTAAACAACTTGAAATAATTAAGCACATTCAAGTGAATAACTTTTTTCTTATTGGATATCTGCTTTCAAAAATCTAATATCAAAATAGTTGGATATCTGAATAACCCCGTTTCCTTGTTTTATATATATCTTATCTTTCAGTCTTCCGCTGTGTTTGGTGTTTTGGTTTAAGTTATCTGCATGTTTTAAGGCTTTAAATAGCTTGGTTTTAGGGGGTGTTACATACGCTCCTTCAATAACTGACTTCCAACGGCTTTAAATCTTTAGAGATGCTTCTGATGGACTCCCTGATCAATCAGGTCTTCATTCTTCAAACTCAGATTGACTCTGATCTACAGCCTATTCTAATTTGCCATAATAATAAAGCCAATTACATGTTGGGGTTTAATTAACTTATCAAAAAACTAACAATTAGATTGAAATAGATCAATGCACCATATTTGTTCTTGATTGCGCGCTACGCTTAGAGATAATCACGACAGAGGAGGGCAAAATTGTCCACTAATTCAATTCAAACTCATCTTCTTCCACTTCTCGAAGTTATACCCATCCCATCTTCCTATTCACAATCCCAAAGTGCGAAAACCGCTTCTCCAAGTTACTCCCGCTCCGACGACAAAGGCTAGACAAACAACTGAAATGACGATCACCTCGCTGCAAAGAAAAAGCTAGAGTCGAACACACTACCAGGTTCTGAGAGAAGCACGAAACCTACACCGCAACCCCGCTCGACTACAAACCACAAAAATGGTGAACAAAGGCAAACAACAAGCATGCAAGGGTATATTTCGTTTATTATTAGTGTATTATGGAATATTTAACTTCAATCATGCATGCTACATTTAGATCATCCTAAGGCTTTTGAGTTCTACCCTTTATGTTTCTTAGAGTTTTGCCATTGTCTGCCTCAGGACAGAATTTAAGAATTACAAGTTTGAATTCCCTGGTTGGATCCTTAGGTTGGATCGGGTATTGCTTTCAAGGTTCCATGTTGCGCAAGGACACAATCAACCGTTTTATTTATCTCAAGGGTAAACAAGAGTTTAAACTATTCGAATTAACTAACTAACTAACTTCTCTGGAATCACGGAGACTCGAAGAATTTTATAAGGTGAACGCCCTTATGACTGGATCCAGGGGGTCTTGGTAAGGTCTTCGTCTCTGATGGCTACGTTGTTAGTCTCAGTTTCGGCTTTGGTTTCGGCCTCGGCCTCGGCTTCAGCTTGCGTGCGGCTCATGATGAACACCTTTCTGGGCGTTCCATAGCCTCCTCGGTTGTTTGCATTTCCTTGTTGTCCAGGGGGAGGTGGTCTTGCACGTGCGGGTTGCTTACACTCAAAGGACCTATGGCCTTTCTCCCCACAGATGTAGCATACCACGACATTTCTTTGGCAATCATTCCCTCGGTGGTCCTTATCACACCTCCTGCATAGGAAATGCCTCCCCTTGTCATCGCTGTTTCCTTTAGGTGGGCCTTGGGTTTGCCGATAAGTTGTCCTTGCATTGGAGTCACTCTTTGCCCTTTTGAAGTTAGGTCCTACACTTTCGTCATTCCTCCTCTTCGCTTGATCTTGGGTTCCCCATTGCAGCAGTTGGATCCTGTGACACCTCGTAAATCCAAACTCTATCTACGGATTAATTAGATAATTAATCCTAGCTTATTTGGTAATTTATTCCTAAAATCCTGAAAATTCAATAGTCGGAGGACTATAATTTGACTAGTCAATCCAAGTCAAAGAGTTGTACCTTAAGCCTTATGAGTTGCGCCCTTGTCTCCTTATTCTTCCAACTTTAGTAAGTGAAAAGGAGTCTTTCTACCTAAAGTTTGTGCTCCAAGCTAACCTAACATCATCCTTTCATTTCATCCACAAACACTCTAAACACATAACCTCTACCTTCTCTCTAGAAATTTGATAGCTTCTTCTCCAAGCCAAATTTTGGGTATCTTAGTTCTACAAGTTGGCTTCCAAGATTCATAGTTTCATAACCTTGAGCATAGGGGAGGGTAAGATCCTTGTTCTCTTGCTGTTTTTAGTATCTTTTTAGATGTCTTTTTCTAAAAATAGAATCTTTGTTGTCTTTTGGTGTGTTTATGAAATTGGTGTTGAAGAAGAGCTTTAGGAGAAACTTTTAAGGGTGAGAAAAGTGAAGTGTTAGGCTACAAAGGTAACCCATGCTTTAAAAAACCTATTTTCTTACTTATATGATGATTTCTTGGCTTCTACTTGTGATTTTTGTCATGAACTGTGAGATTTGATGCATTGTCTTGTGGTAATGCATGTCTGGAGCTTGTTGTTAGGATTCTTGTATGTCATTGCTTGGCTATTTCTTGGGTTCACGTCATATTGTTGTACTATGTGAGATTTTGGGTGTTTTGGACTTGAATTTGGACTTGTTGTTGAAAATCCCCGAAGGGATTATTTTGAGGTAGAGCGGTGTATCCGCGGGTGGAAGGGCGGGCAGGGAACCACCTGCCGCCCCACCCGCGGGGTACAAGCCTGGTGGGTTGTGGTACCCGCAAGCGGAACCACGGGTGGAGGTCCACCCGTGGCCCCACCCGCGGGGTACAATATGAAGTTGGTCGGGGATTTGTTCCCCGTGATTCTTTTGACTCGGTAATTGATGTTTTAACCTCCCGATGTTGTTTTATTGGGCTATTTGAGTGTCTTCTTGATATTTCGTATGTCTAGAATGGTATGTTAGGAATCCATGTAGGATTTGTTGTCTTGAATCGTGCTAAGTGCCCAACTTCGTGATTCGTTGGACTGTGATGAGTCTTGTATGTTCTATGGAACTACTTTTGGTTTACCCATTTAATAAGCATGCTAGTTTTGATGTTGAAATGCTAGTGTGTTCGGTTTTTCTTCCCTATTGATATTGGCAACTTGTGTTGACCATCGTTGGTGTCGGATTGTAATCCTTCCTTGTTGAGTATGGTTTCATATCTTTGTTGTGATCCATTGATTGATTCTAGTGATGCAAATATGTGTACTTGTTGTACCTTGATTCTACGGATAAGGTTTATGGGGCCTTAATCTCCAAGGTACCAATGTGGTCCTCGTGTGGCCATGATTGAAATTGGTGGTGTGACCTGAGTGTAGGCTCATATGTTGGCGGTTGTGTGATATGAACTGTACCCTCGTGTACAGATATGTTGGCGGAAATGTTAGTGGTTGTTGGTGGGGGAACAACGGTTCCCAGAGGCATAAGGTTGGACTCAGAAGTACATGGGTTACTCGGAGGTAATGGCTGGAACTGTAATAAGGCCGGGGGTAGCCATAAGGTTGGAACATGGCATAAGGTTGGAACTTGGAATTGTGTTCATGTGACATGTAGTTGTCACTGTGGCATGTAGTTGCCAATGTGTGTATGTGTTCTTTGCTATTGAGCATGTCTTGATGTATTTTACTTTGTGGTCAGTAGAATACATCTCGAGTTGTATTGTAATGTTGGTATTCTTGTCTTGTTGTTGTCTTGGGATGTTGATTTCTCTTGTTCCTTTGAGGGTGGAATTGAGTCTTCGCAGTTGACTTTCCTCTATGACTTTCAAACTGATATATACTATATTCCGTTTCGAAAATGGTTTTGATTTATGCTATCCATATATGCTATTTAACGCGTATTGATGGGTTACCAGCAATGTTCGTTGACCGGGCGTCATCCCCTTTCTTTATGTTGCTTTACAGGTCTTGAGTAGCTTTTGGAGTGGGCGCTAGCTGTTGTTAGATAGTGTAGCTCCCTTGACTGTTTTAGTTAGAGTTTTGGGCCTGTGAGCCATGGATTGTTATGATCATGACTTGTATGTTCGTTAGATTTAGCATGTGCACCTATAGATATATAGGTGTGGCATGACATCTCCCGTATTTTGTCTTTTGCTTCCGCGTTACTTTAACCTCGATGAGTAGACTTTGTCTCTTTACTAAGCTTTAAATGTTTTTTAAAATTGTGAAAATTGGGGGTGTTACAGTTGGTATCAGAGCCTAGGTTTGTGCCTAGGATGTTAGAGTCTGGACTTTTAAGAAGTTAAGTGTGGTTTGAGACCCTAAGGTGACCTTAAGTATCTAAGTGTTTAAGACTTAGGACTTTTAGGACATGTGGTGAGCTGTGTGTTGTTTACTATTTGTTCTGTTTGTTTTGATGTATCTGCTTAACTTAGTCTTCTTTTAGTTAACGCCAGGTGAGGGTGCGTTGTTGTTGGTGCCTACCGTAACCGTGTTGTTGTTGTAGAAGTATCGTCATGGCTCCACCTCGTCAACGTGGTCGTATGCCCGAAACACCAACCAATGAGCAGCTGGCTCAGAACTTGCAACATCTCACGCAGACCATGCAAACCTTGAGTGAGGCTCTTCTGCACAACAATCATCCTGCTCCGCCACCGCAGCCTGCCGGAAATCGGGATGTGGGACGTCAAGTCTTGGGCCATAGACCACCGATGTTCGCCGGAGAGGATGACCCTGTCATACTCGAGGAGTGGATCCGAACCTTCGACAAAATCTTCTCCGTTGTAGGGTGCCCTGAAGAGCGCAGAGTGGAGTTGGCATCTTTCTACTTCAGTCATGAAGCTGATCTCTGGTGGGTGCACGAGGGACCCGCATGTCAAGAAGAGTCCGACTTAGACTAGATAGCCTTAAAGGACCGGATGAGAGAGCAGTTATCCGTCACATGTCCGAGCTGCTATGTACGAGGGGTTTCTACATCTCTAGCAGGGTTCATCGTCTATGGTGGAGTACCACAAGCGCTTCTTGGAGCTTGCCCATTTTGCAAGTATGCTAGTCCCCACTGAGCTTGCAAATGTGGAGAAGTTCGTGTCTGGGCTCAACTGTGAGGCTCGAAAGGCGTTGACTGTGAGCAAGCCGAGGACCTTGAAGGAGGCTTATCTGAGTGCTGCTGACCTGTACCGGGTACAGCAGTTGCAGCGAGGGTCGTTTGAGCTCGCTAAGAAGAGGAATGAAGGCGGTGGATCCCACAGTTTCAAGAAGCCGAGATAAGATTTCTGAGCCAGAACCGCACCTTCCCCACCTTAAGGA